GGGATCCGAACCAGCGAACCCCGGGCCGCCGCAGCGGAGCGCGCACACTTAACCGCTTGCGCCACCGGGCCGGCCCCGATGGTAGATAATTTTAAGAGGTAATTTTATGAGCTAATTCAATAGCAAAGTACATTTCATTAAAAATACCTGTGGTTCTCTGAAATGGACAGTGCTAATTAACTGCCACTAACTAGACTGGCTTCCTTTTCAAAAAAGGAATGAATTAGATCATAGTTTCTAAAAAGCCCATTCCATTCCAAAATTGTTGATACAAGTTAAGATGAAAAGAGTGGGCTTACTAGTGGGCCGTTGGAGTACTTTAGAATCTCTTGCCTGCCCTAATTTTAAGAGGTTGTGCATTTTAGGATATGAATTTCAGCAGAGGCAGGCAGTAGGAGCCCAGCAGTGGAAGGCAAGCTCTGCAGTAGGTAATGGGTTGATGGGGCTGGTTTTATCAAGTCTGATTAGTTTTAGAGGAAGTTTCTGAATGTGTTTCTTATAACTGAGATATTAATTTTATTGCCAAATTTTATTCTTTAATTGCAGGTAAACAAGTGAGAACCAAACTTTCACAGGCGTTTAATCATTGGCTAAAAGTTCCAGAAGACAAGCTACAGGTATTTAGGCAATTCTAACCTCATTCTTAATCCCCAAGAAATTAGTAGACGTCACGTAAAAATACTCCTAGCTCTTAATTCTGTTTAATACTCATGCAGTATGTTATTTTATATTGAGGTTGCTACGTAATTATTAGTTGTAAAACCACCTGAGACTCTCCTAATCTGTTAATATAATTAAGTGATTATAAACTGTTTTGAATAGTTCAAATAAAATGAAATTTTCAATTGTCTTTTTTGTTAGATTATCATTGAAGTGACAGAAATGTTACATAATGCCAGTTTACTCATCGATGATATTGAAGACAACTCAAAACTCCGACGCGGCTTTCCAGTGGCACACAGCATCTATGGAATTCCATCTGTCATCAATTCTGCCAATTATGTGTATTTTCTTGGCCTAGAAAAAGTCTTAACC